GAGAAGACATTAGCCCTCAAGATAGGCCTTTCATCGAAGAAGCAAGGAAGGACATGCTTAATTGGCTGAAAAAATACATCTGACAGTCTGTTATATGTTATATGTTAATACCAACAACCATTAAGAAATTAGTTCTCCAGACACATTTTTCTAATTTCTTTAATGAACAATTGTGTTATAGTTCAACCTGTGATTGTGTCTGATGTAAATGAGGATGAAAGGTTTTCTGAGCCTGTATTTGGTGTCAATGAGAATTAGGGTTTTTCTGGGACTGAGTCAAGCCCAGGCCTTGCTAAGAGGCCCAAGGTTTCTCATGAACAGAGTGCTTCTCCTGCAGATTCATAAGGTTAAATTCCTGGGAGAGGCCCACAGCAGTCTTTCTCTGAGAAACTGTCTTCTGAGGATGATTTGTCAGGTGTAGAATTTAATTAGTGTAAAGATAGAAAACAAGACTTTGGTAAACTGAGACAGACAAAAATATTCCTGGAAAAGAAAGATAAATTCTTATCTGATTGTAAGAGCAGTGGAATGCTTTCCTTTTGATTCTTGGGACAGGAAAAGCTTTATATTGAAACAAGGGAAGGGTTTTGGCTCACTCTCATCAACGTTCATGATCATCTTTCTTCAAGTGGATTTCTAGTTTTATGTTTCACGTTTTGCCAGGTTCCTGTTTCATCTATTTGATTTCCATGCTGTCTTGTTCTCTGGATTTTGCATGCTTGGATCTTGTGTTTTTACCTTTGTACCTTGAAGTTCATGAACTATCTCTTATCCTTGGATTATACTATTTTGGATTATACTGTTTTTACCTTTTTTCTGCTTTGCTTACATATATCCTACAATAAATCATTTGCTGATTTTACTATACTGGTGTGGTGTTTAAGGATAGAAGTGTTTCTGCTCTTGGATACAACAAATTGCAGTGATAAGCATATCTCACATCATGCCATTTCTCCACTGCATAGGCCCATGAACAACATCAACACCTTCCCTTTCTCATAGAAACAGATGTGCATAGATACAGAGAGAGCCAGTTGATGTGTGTTAGATAAACATGCAGTATAATATGCTAATTTTATGAAACAAAGAAAATTCTGGAATCAAGAAAAAAATTAGTGGTGAATATTTCATTATGAATATTGCATCAAATGTTGTATTGCATGTGGATGTAAGGAGTGTAAGTATGCATATGTGCACATATGTTTTAATCATAGAATCAAAGAGTTGGAAGAGACCTCATGGGCCATCCAGTCCAACCCCATTCTGCCAAGAAGCAGGAATATTGCATTCAAATCACCCCTGACAGATGGCCATCCAGCCTCTGTTTAAAAGCTTCCAAAGAAGGAGCCTCCACCACACTCCGGGGCAGAGAGTTCCACTGCAGAACGGCTCTCACAGTCAGGAAGTTCTTCCTCATGTTCAGATGGAAACTCCTTTCTTGTAGTTTGAAGCCATTGTTTCGCGTCCTAGTCTCCGGGGAAGCAGAAAACAAGCTTGCTCCCTCCTCCCTGTGACTTCCTCTCACATATTTATACATGGCTATCATATCTCCTCTCAGCCTTCTCTTCTTCAGGCTGAATATGAAAAAATTCTTACAAGAATTCAGAGTTATCCTTTCAGCAATTCTGCACAAAATACTATGTATGGTTTTGACATGCAGCAGAGATTGTTCAGATTATTTCCTGTTTTGAAAAAATGCTTATGGAAAATCTTAAACAGGGCAAATCCAGAAAAACTGACTAAATTTTTTGTTAGTATTCCATTATCTGGGCAGAGACCACTAGGGGGCAGTAGAGAGAGAGAGAAGGATACTCCCTTTRCRCACTTCCTATTTCYAGAGYGTTGTTTACATGACAGGGACATMGGGGGGGGGGGATAACAGGAAAACAGGGGGAATGGTTTTCCTCCTTCAACCCGCCCTCCACCCCTGTAAAATGGKCTATCCTTCTCTCTCTAGCGGCCCCTAYTGGCCTCTACATYGATAATGGAACAATATCCAAATTTCTATAGGATGATGGTTTAGAAGAATTTAAATATTTCATCAAAATGTCTTACTTCCACATTCAAATTTACACTGAATAGCATTGTTGAAGTGTTACATTGATCTTTCCATTACTTTCCATTACTTCCTCCATCATTATGAACAAAACAGTAATACAGTGTGACAGGTATATCAACTTCACTGATACCTGCACTATCTAAGCCAGGGGTCCTCAAACGTTTTAAACAGAGGGCCAGGTTACAGTCCCTCAAATTGTTGGAAGGCCGGATTATAATTTGAAAAAAAGTATGAATGAATTCCTATGCACACTGCACATATCTTATTTGTAGTGCAAAAAACACTTTAAAACAATACAATAATTAAAAAGTTTGAGGATATCTGCTATACAGGATTTTCTCTATTGTTTCTTTCCTAAATGTACAATTGAAAATGACACTCTCTTATTGAAAGCAAAACGGCCCTACTCCTTAACAACTACACCTCCTCTCCAACTCTGTCTCCTTCTGAACTCAACCATCAAGTGTGGCCTCCTCCTTAGAGTTTCATCATCTACCAGACCAGAAAAGTAC